TTTTGCAGTTCTTGCTTCATCTGGAATTGACTATGACATTAAGCTGTGGTCGCCTTTAGAACAGTCACCGTCATTTAACAGAGTCCTTGCTGATGAGGTATGGACAATGTTTTCTGTTTGAATAAAGTTATGTTTTGATCCTTCAGACTTTAAAAATGTGTATTTAAAGTGCATGCAGTAACAGGCCTGTGGTTTGCTTTGAGAAGTACCGGTAATTAAAATCCCCACTAGAGGGCACCAGAGCTCTTAGCACTGTGGTTGTCTAAGGAACTGTATCTGATTTACAGGCAGGCAAATCTATCAAATGGAGGCTTTTAAAGGCAGTTTTATTTGTATATATCTGCCAATGCCTATAACTATAGGAGGAAAGTGACCGTTTATATAAATGTACATATGGATTTAATTCTGTTTCTGTGCTGTAGGTGATTGCTCGTAATGAGTTAATGCTGGAAGAGACGAGAAACACCATCACCGTCCCTGCTTCCTTCATGCTCCGAATGCTGGCATCATTAAATCACATCAGAACAGGTGAACTTCTTCCTGTTCCTTTTTGAATATCTTTTGATTTGATCCGACACATTCACATATATTCATGTAGCAGATTTGTAGTGAGGTCTAAAAGCCTTAAACCACATTGAAAATTCGGGGGGAATAAATCAAAATATGTTAATGACCAAAAATTCGCAAGACATATTTATGATTCTGCACTATTTCTAGGTGTCTAATCAAAAATGTACACTACAGTTCAAGAGTTCGGAGATGGTAGAATTTTAAAATGTTTTTGAAAAAGAAGTCTCTTATGCTCACCTAGGCTGCATTTAATTGATCAAAAATACAGTAAAACATTGTGAAATATTACAATTTAAAGTAACTATTTCTATTTTAATTTATTTTAAAATGTAATTTATTCCTGTGATGGCAAAGATACATTTTCAGCATCATTACTCCAGTCTTTTTTTCTATCAATGTAAAAGTCTTTACTTACACTTTTGATCAATTTAATGCATCAAAAAATATTACTGACCTCAAACTTTTGAATGGTATTGTATATTTTTCACACTGATCATGCGATTTCCAGCTTCCATTGAAGCCTAAGATGCTCTTTGAATCATTCTCATATCAAGCTGGAAAACATAATCATCAACTTTTTTACACAAACCTGTGGAGTTCATGCAGCTTGAGTTCTGCTGTATTAAAGCAAAAGCACTCCAAATACTAAGAATTTTTGTCTAATTATCTTTTAAAAGAAGTCTTATTTATCAATGATTTTTACACCTACAGTGTTTGTCAGTGGATATTTGTACTACCATTTGGTTTTACCACCTTGAACGGGTGTCTAACTGACTGATCTTTCTTCCTCAGACCGTGTGGAGGGTGACCGTTCAGAAGGCTCTGGACAAGAGAACGAGGATGAACAGTAGCCCTCCTGATAAAAGTGAATGGTTTTTTGCTACAGTGCACTTGAGCATTTGAGATTTGTACAAGTTACAAAATAGAGTATTTCCTTATTAGTTCGGTTTTTGGCATTGTTATTTTTTAATGAGACTTTTCTAACTTATTACTCTATATGAGAGTAAACTGCGTCTGGGGAGTTCATGCAAATAAGATATGTAAGAAATCAAAAGACGGGACTAGACGGCTGGTGCTTGAGAGTATTTAAGTGCAATATTAATTTGTTAAATCAAACGGTTGAGCTTTGAACGGTGTTAAGTGTGAAATCTCATTGTAGCCTCAAATGAAGAACTCAGATGTTTGTATACCATGAATTATGCATGTCAAACATGAGTTTGCTGAAAACATGTTCTCCTAGTCTCTAACAATGTTGTGTATAAAAATGGCTCTTTTTTTTTGTCATTACTAAATCTTGCGTTGCACAGACATCTTCTGCCTAACCCCAATTACAGGTACTACTTGCAATATTTCATTATCCAAAACAGGCACTCTACATTGTTACACTGCGGAATGTTTATGAAAGTTTATTAAAATGAGAACCATTTTTGACTCGGTCTATACATACAACCCACTGCTGTTTAGCCAAATGGTTCTAGCATTAGTTAGCAGGTCGTGTTTCTCTCTCTCTCCTAACAGCACAGATGGCCTTTTGTTGTGGCAGCTGTTGGCTTGAGCATTCTGCTAAGTGACTAGCGATCATTGGGAGAAGCAAAGATGAAAAATCCTGCGTGCCATTCTATGCTAACCTCATTCAGCACTGTTAACTTGGAATGCAAGCCATCTTTTTAAATGTTTGTCTACAGATTTTCAGATTAAGTTCCAGTTCCTTTTCAAACAATGTACCAGAGGATAGTTTAAATATGAAGTGTTATGATTTTGAACAAAACATGACTGAAAGCTTCATAAAGAATTTAATAACACAGTGCCACCTATTTATATTGGTATATGCAGTTGTGGTCAGAATTATTGGAACCCTTGGTAAATATGATCAAAGATGGCTTTACAAATAAATTTGTATTATAAAAAAAATTCAAAAATCTAACCTTTCATTGAAGTAAAATAAATGAAAGTGGTGGGAAAATCACATTATGAAAAGAAAACAGCCACAAATATTGGCACCCCTACAATTTTTATGAGTAGAATATCTCTGAAGCATATTCCCATTTATATTTAAGGAACATGAAATTGTCTAACTATGACTTCGTTTCACAGGAGTATGAGGAAACACAAAGGCCAAATTCCCTTAATCATCCATCACAATGAGTAAAACCAAAGAATTTAGTTCTGATGTGCAGCAAAAGATTGTTGAGCTTCACAAAATAGAAAGTGGCTGTAATAAAATAGCTAAAGCATTGAAAATTCCCATTTCCACCATCAGGGCAATAATTAAGAAGTTCCATACGAAATATTACGAATCTGCTTGGAAGAGTACGTGTGTCTATATTTTCTTCATGCACAGACTTTGAGTGGCCAAAGACTCTCCAAGGATCACAGATGGAGAATAGCAGAGATTAAGTTAAGTCTTGGGGTCAGAAAGTGCTTAAAAAAAATCAAACAACTCCTACATCACCACATGTTGTTTGGGAGGGTTCAAGAAAAAATCCTTCTCACTCAAAATAAGCTCCAGCATATTCAGTTGTCAGACTCGGGACTGGATTCTATGGTCAGATGAAACTAAAAGAAGAGCTTTTTGGAAGCAAACCCACCAGATAGGTTTGGTGCAAACAGTGATAATAAGTACCCCATGTCCATGGTTAAATACACTCACCGGCCACTTTATTAGGTACCCCATGCTAGTAACGGGTTGGACCCCCTTTTGCCTTCAGAACTGCCTCAATTCTTCGTGGCATAGATTCAACAAGGTGCTGGAAGCATTCCTCAGGGAGTTTGGTCCATATTGACATGATGGCATCACACAGTTGCCGCAGATTTGTCGGCTGCACATCCATGATGCGAATCTCCCGTTCCACCACATCCCAAAGATGCTCTATTGGGTTGAGATCTGGTGACTGTGGAGGCCATTTTAGTACAGTGAACTCATTGTCATGTTCAAGAAACCAATTTGAAATGATTAGAGCTTTGTGACATGGTAGAAGTAGCCATCAGAGGATGGGTACATGGTGGCCATAAAGGGATGGACATGGTCAGAAACAATGCTCAGGTAGGCCGTGGCATTTAAACGATGCCCAATTGGCACTAAGGGGCCTAAAGTGTGCCAGGAAAACATCCCCCACACCATTACACCACCACCACCAGCCTGCACAGTGGTAACAAGGCATGATGGTTCCATGTTCTCATTCTGTTTACGCCAAATTCTGACTCTAACATCTGAATGTCTCAACAGAAATCGAGACTCATCAGACCAGGCAACATTTTTCCAGTCTTCAACTGTTCAATTTTGGTGAGCTCTTGCAAATTGTAGCCTCTTTTTCCTATTTGTAGTGGAGATGAGTGGTACCCGGTGGAGTCTTCTGCTGTTGTTGCCCATCCGCCTCAAGGTTGTGCGTGTTGTGGCTTCACAAATGCTTTGCTGCATACCTCGGTTGTAACGAGTGGTTATTTCAGTCACTGTTGCCCTTCTTTCAGCTCGAACCAGTCTGGCCATTCTCCTCTGACCTCTGGCATCAACAAGGCATTTCCGCCCACAGAACTGCCGCTCACTGGATGTTTTTTCTTTTTCGGACCATTCTCTGTAAACCCTAGAGATGGTTGTGCGTGAAAATCCCAGTAGATTAGCAGTTTCTGAAATACTCAGACCAGCCCTTCTGGCACCAACAATCATGCCACGTTCAAAGTCACTCAAATCACCTTTCTTCCCCATACTGATGCTCGGTTTGAACTGCAGGAGATTGTCTTGACCATGTCTACATGCCTAAATGCACTGAGTTGCCGCCATGTGATTGGCTGCTTAGAAATTAAGTGTTAACGAGCAGTTGGACAGGTGTACCTAATAAAGTGGCCGGTGAGTGTATATACCGCTGGATCTTTAATGTTGTTGGCCTATTTTTTTTGCTGGACGTCCTGTACATCTTGTTTAGATGCATGGTTTCATGGATTCTATCAAATACCAACAGATTAAAAAAAATCAAAACCTGACTGCCTCTGCTAGAAATCTTATAATGGGCCGTGGTTGGATCTTCCATTAGACAATGATCCAAAACAAACATCAAAATCAACACAAAATATTTGTCACTGAACACAAAATGTTTCTGCCATGGTCATCCCAGTCCCTGAATTGAACCCTATAGAAAATGAGTGGGGTGAACTGAAGAAAAGCACCAACATGGATCTGGGAATCTGAAGGATCTGGAGAGATTCTGTATGGAGGAATGGTCTCTGATCTCTTGTTAGGTGTTCTCCAAACTCATCAGGCATTATAGGAGAAAACTCAGAGCTGTTATATTTGCAAAAAGCATTCAATAAAAGAGTGACAAATTATTGCCAACGTGTTTTGGAGAAAAGCATTTATTTCATGTTATTTTACCCACACTTAATTCTTTTACTTCAATGAAAGGTTAGATTGTCAAATTTTTTGAACGAAACATCAAAAGGATAAACAGATTTATTTTGACAGCCATCTTTGATCATATTTACCAGGGGTGCAAATAATTCTGACCACTAATGTAAATGACTGGCACAATGCAAAAAAAGAAGATTCCACAGGAATGATTTATCCTTATTTTAAAACACATTTTCAGAGTATACTAACCGAACAAGGTAGGAGTGAAAACACAAATGTGATCAGTCACTGATCAAACGTAAAATCTTCAAGTGCAATTGTACCATCGACTAATGACTCTGTAGACAAAGCAACTATATTGTTCTTGCTTTCTCACACCATTACATTCAGCCAAAGCATTTTAATCAGATTTTCCACCGGAAACTATGGATAAAATAATATGCATTTTAAGAGATATTCTACCATACATTATGCCCAGAATCTTCCTGTCCTTTACATGATTCTTCAATGTCAATTCAATGCCTGAAAAAATACAGGCCCTTTCACTGTAAGGGCCTGAAAATAGGTTATTTTTCTTTGTCCACATCGATATAACCCCCAAAAGATTTGGTATATTTTCTTTAAACCTTGTGGCACTAAAAAAATAATTGAATATATTAATAATGAACTTGAAAAGTTGAGAGAAAACTTTCTCTAGGATATTCATTCTTACAAATAGTCAGTACATATAAAACAGAGTGGTTACAGTTTCCTTGTAAGAAAAGAGTAAACTTAATACATACCCAAAAGAGGCAAAATACCTGACAATATATGAGGGCTGTACATGATTTTACAATATCTTGTATGTTACAAAAACAACTTATTCTGGTGAGTGACAGTGGGGCTTCTAGTACCTGATACCTTGCAGGTACAGCCATCATTCTAGGTCTTTGGTCTCACCAAGGCAAGTAGCAGCAGTTGCTTCTAAAATAATCAAGTATAAGTTTGTTACCTAGTATGTAAATTACACATAAACCACTGTATATTTGTAAACATTTGCCAATGTGTTTGTTGAATGTTCTGTACCTTTAAAAGCTAAAGATTACACAAGGTTCTGGTTGTTTAAGTGGTTCACTGAGTGAAAGAACTACATGGAACTGTCACCTATTTTTTCCTCATGCTCCTCGTCCTCATCATCATCTTTAACTATTCCTTCATCGATGCTTTCCATCCTGAGTCTCTGTCCATCCAGGTAACGGGGAGCTCTCTGTGTGTTTCGTACTGTAAACAGACTTGTGGGAATTTGAGTCCATTCCCCAAAGAGTTGTAGCTTGGCATCATTCTCTATAGCCTTAGCCAGAGAGGACGCAAAGCTGTCCAAAGAGTTATGGATGTCTGCTGTCACTTGTTCTATTGAGGGGTCACCTTGAGAAAAAGAAATGGAAGACAATTAAAATATCTGACACTTTCAGATGCTGCTTTGTTAATTAACTAATGTTTCTGTCAGTTTGTGAAAATGACATGTATACTAGTGTCTTTACAATGGAAGTTTCTTCTGCATACAAATTTGAGATGAAAGTTGTTGAATTCAAACTTTTGAGGTGGGACTAGTTCTAAACAGTTAAACCAAGTATGCACAAACATTATTTTGCATAAATGTATCCGGTGAAAACAACCCATTTTAATGGATTAACATGGACATAACAGTCCACAGACTGGATATAACTTTGCAAAGTGCTTAATTGCATTAGTCTCAAGTAAACACGTATAAAGTCCTATGACTGTACTTTCTAAACGGTGTGTATGAACACTTATTAGGGCTGCACGATTTGGGGAAAATGTCATATTGCGATTAATGAGGTCAATATTGCGATTGCGATAGCGATATAATAAACAAATGGTTTCATGAGTCAACTTGCTCGGTTCTAAAGTAAAATGCACACACAGATTAGTGATCATTCTGTGTATTAATGTGTATTTCTCAACTCAAACTAGCAACAACAACTAAATGATTGATAACACCTATAATGATCAATAAACCATTGATGTCTGGATAAAAATGACGACACCCCCCACATTTTAAACGTTAATTATAGCCATCCAACATTACAGTGATTCCATCAATACAATTGAAAGCTATAAACTTTTAAAATATTTATTAGGCTTAAAAAATAATAACAGCTTTTAAATTAAGTGAAATTCAAACAATCCTCACATAAACCCATAATAAATGCCATATTTACCTGTGCCCTTCCTGTCTTAACAGGTAGGATTGAGGATTTATATACAGATTTATATACAGAAATTGAATAAAGTTATCAAACAGTCTGCGCTGCATAAATTATAAATTATATATAGACTAATCCTTATTAAACCCACAAAACTTCTTTAGTCAAGAGCAGTGAGTAATTTTCTGTTCCCTTTGTTCTTTGATTAACTTTACTGACGGAACGCTTTATTCGCTGCTGGCCCTTTAAGAGCAGCCGTTGCCGAGACGCGGATCTCTCACGCGCCTCATTCTCTCACAAGCACAACTCTTTTTGTCCATCATAAGACTGCTCTTATGTTATGAAGATAATCGACAAAACGACATTTTGGCATAATTGTGTGTGTTATTGTTCGTTCAAGCTCGAAAGAGAACTGTATTCTGGCACGCGGTCTGTGCATGCGCATTATCCCAGAGACCCTAAAAGGACTTTGATTATACTAGCGCGCGTTTTTCTGTGAGTCACATTCAGGACATTCACAGGCAGCGCGCTCTTTTGACTTCTTGTCGTGCAAAATGGTTTTAAGCCATTTGCACGAATAAGAGCGGGATCATGTAACACTAGTCAAAGGATGACAAAAAAGAAGAGATGCTGTGTTCATATAAAATCGCGGCATTTTGCGTTATATAATCGCATAGGTTTGACATCGCGATTACGATTGCGATTCGATTAATCGTGCACCACTAACACTTAAATATACACACAATACTGTTCAAAAGCTTGGGTCAATAATATTTTTAAAATAAATTAATACCTTTATTCACCAAGGATGCATTAATTGATCAAAACTCAGAAAATACTTTTACATTGTTATTGTATAAAAATAAGAAATATGTAAACACATTATATTTAAAATAAATGCTGTTCTTTTGAACTTTCTATTCATTAAAGAATCCTGAGGAAATGTATCACTTTCCACAAAATTTCTAAAACAACCATTTTCATCATTGATAATGATAAGAAATGTTTCTTGAGCACCAAATAAGCACATTAGAAAGATTTCTGAAGGATCATGTGACACTGGAGCAATGATGCTGAAAAGTCCAATTTGGCATCGCATCACAGGAATAATCTACATTTTAAAATAGAAAACAGATCTTTTAAGCAGTATTTTGATCAAATAAATGCAGCCTTGGTGAGCATAAGAGACTTTCAAAAACATTTTTAAAAAAATCTTACAGACCCCATTCAGAATAAACCCAATTGTATTGGTGCCAATTAAAATTTTGTAAACTACAACCGTTCACAAGGATCTGCTTTCCATGTGCTTGGTTTTGTACTTTGTACTGATTAGTCAGATGTAAAATAACACCATGATAGATACCTTTAGGAATCTGATCCACTTGGTCCTCGAATGTGACAGAACTTCTTCTCTTATTGGCAACACAGAGGGCTGAGTGGGAGGGCTCTGAGGTGTAGCTGTCCAACAGCATGACGTCTGTAGCTAGCGGGTTAATCACAGCAGGCATCTTTCAATCAAATATCAGTTTTAACACTGCTCACCACCACCCACCCACACCAGTCTGGACACTGTGGGAGAGCCGCTGAGCATCGCCGTCTGTCTGTTATGCGATACTCATGGGCCCTGTGTTTCCTCAAATGGCACACCCTGATAACAGTAGTCTGCAGGCCAACAAACCACCTCTGCTGACTGCTCAGAGCTGTGGAGGTTGCTGCTGTTTGGTTTTCTAGTACTCAAAGAGGTAAGGATGCAGCGATATCAAAATTCTGGCTGATACTGATAAATTATGAAATTAATATTAGATTCCATTATATATATATATATATATATATATATATATATATATATATATATATATAACAATTTAAAAATAAAATAAAGTTTTGCAGTTTGAATTACATTGAACTGTTTTTAAAGAGTAACATAACCATTAGATGAAGACAAAGGTAATCTAGATGTAAAAATATCATGCATAAATGATTATACAATATTGGCTGATTCTGACAAAATAAACAAAAACAATTCTCTAATATCAGACAATTTGAAGTGGAACAAAAGTTTCAAGTCACCAAAAAAGTGGATCAAGAACAGGTATTGTTCAAAATTCATGTATAACTTCGATGAAAGGTTTTGATCCACTTCAAATGTTGACTACTGTATATTGTGGATCCATACAAAAAAAAGGATATCATCACAAAACCAAAAAGGTATTTAACCTTTCATAAACTTCACAAACTTCTTTAAAAACAGTTTACTCAAATTAACAGTTTTTTCAATGTACTTTTTCAATCCATTTTAAAATCTTTCATGGAAAAGGAAAAATGAGATATTATGCATAAAATTTGTGCGGCTCATTTCCATACAATGGAATTCAAAGGTGATGGATGGTGCTGAGTTCCAAAAATGACCAAAAAGAATCGTTAAAGTATCATAAATGTAGTCTACCATTCATCTGTTATCCAAGTCATCTAAAGCCATTTGATTTTGTGTGATGAACAGACTGGAATTTAAGTTGCTATTCAATGAAAACCTTCCAGTTTGTTGTAGCTCTCAAATCTGATTCGGTTTCCATATATTCAAAAGTGGTGCGATGTGTTGCGCTAGTTCTCTATTGTCTCACTGTATTTGTTGTATACCAGCATGTGGCTGAATGTAATATGTCAGTTTATGCAGAAGTGTGAATGAGATTCAAGAGCTACAGCAGAAGAGAAGATTTTCAGTGAATGGCAACATGAATTTTGGCCTTTTCCTTACAGAAAATGTATCTAGTATGGCTTCAGATGACTTGAAACACAGCATGAGTAACATGGACTATTTTTTACGGTGCTTGCATGCTTTTTTGAAACTGAAAGCAATTGCCTCCATTTACTTTTATTCTATGAGAAAAAAAGCGCCCAGAACATTTAGCTTAATACCTTCTTTTTTGTTCCACAGAAGAAAGTCATACAGGTTTGGAACACGAGGGTGCATTAATTATGACAGAACTTTAATTTCAGGATGAACTATTCCTTTAAAAGCTTTTTGTCCCATGTGTGATCAACAGTAGAAGGTCTACCTGAGTCTTGTGTATAGCTGAAGCCAGTGTCTCCCGTGCTGCTGCCACGGCCCACAACCTGCCCACCACCCACTAACATGGCCGTCAGGTGAGGAGACATCCCCAGATCTGTTAAACAACAAAGACTCTCAGACATCTCATCCAAACATTAGGTTATGAAGAACCCCAGGAAATAAAGATAACAGTAGCAGGCTCACCCGTTATCCGGTTAGAGATGCTAAAGAGACGAGAGGTGCGGTGCCGAATAACAAAAGACTCTCTGTAGTAGCGGTCGCCGTAGCACATGCCCAACAGCTCCTTACGTACCGTCTTGTTCCACAGCCCATAAATAAGTGGAAGGCACACGGCACTGGTAAAGGACAGCCAGGATACTAGAGTCTCCATCTGTGGAGAAACACTGTATTTACCCCACAGTGCTTCGGTGCTGATAACTACCACATATGGACCCCAAGTTGTCAGAAACGTCCCAAGCACCACCAGAATGGTGACGAACGCCTTGCATTGGCTCCCAGAGTAGATCAGGCTCTTGCGGCTACCACTAGAAGATGTGGACGTATTGGAGTTTTTGCGGCCGTTCTTCTGAGAGCTGGACTCCTCCTGAGCCACCACAACGCTACCGCAGTAAACCTTGCGAGCTTTGATGCGGGCCACACGGAAGATGACGCCATAGCAGACCAGCATGGCCACTAGTGGAAGAAGGCAGCACCACGTAACCCAGAAGGCGGTATAGCTGATCTCCTTGTGCCAAGCCACCGTGCAGGTCCACTTGAAGCGGTCAAACTCGAAAGCGGACCAACCGAAAAGCGGTGGAAGGCATCCGACCAGGGAGTGGAGCCACACGTAAACAATAACGAGCACAGCTCGGTTTCCCGTGATTTTCATGGGGTAGATCATGGGATATAATACGGCATAGTACCTAGACATTGAAATAAAACAGATACAATTCAATCAGTTCCTCATGAGATACACATGACTAGCCAATGAAACGACAAGGGGGTCTTTCTCTAAGACTCTCAAACTGCCAGAAATAAAGTATGGTGTTTAAGTTTCTCAGATGGGCACGAGGATTTGAGATTTGAATAGGTCTGATATTTTTCAATGTGTATCTTGTTCTTAAAAACAGAGGAACTGTTCAAGCAAGACTAGACTTCAGTGTCACAGTGAACTGCAGAATTAAAGAATTACATTATGATCATTGACTACAGCAGTCAAAAAGCATGTTTTGCCAAGAACTGTTCTTAAATTAACTTGAATTAGAGATTTTATAATAATATTGAACATTCATATGTATTTACTTATGGGTCAATAGCATTCCATAATTTTTTTGTTTCAATCTGTACAATTTATTTATTAAAAAATACATTAAAAATGTAATTCATAAATACAATGACTTGAATGAGCATGTTTTTAACTTCTGTAATGAATTTCTGTGTTTGATTTCTGCCGTATAATGTCAAAAATATTATTAAGTAGTTCGGCAAAATCTTTTATTATTATTTCTTTGGAAGAAATGAAAAACAAAAGTGCTCATTAATATTTAATACCAACCAAATCTAACTAACACCACCATGCTGAAACAAACATAAAACAGGGAATTATATCATAGAGAGGACCCCTGCAAACCCTTATGACCTTGTGTCAAGGTCAATTAATCTTTTAAAATATCAAATAATTAGAAATTTTAATGACATGGTTCAAGCTGTAAAATGCCATGTGGAGTTACTTTCAAAATTAATTATATTTAGGCCTATGTATTAATCATGATATTTGTAAAAATACTTTTATGCTGAGAAATATTTTCACATTTAAAAAAAAAAAAGTGTATATATAATAATGTTTAGCCTAACAGATGATGTAAAATTCTGTACACTCACATGTATAAGGTGTAAGGAAGATATGTTATAACTTTTTACATGATGGTTACACCACAAGAAGGCCTTTTTTAGAGTCATTACATTTTCCTTGAAACCATATGTAACCAAAGTTCGTTCCTTTTCTTTATCATGAACACTTTTATTGGCCCTTATACCCAATGATTCCTCAAACTACAGGATATAACAACACAAAACGACTGACCTGTCAATGGCGATGGCTCCCAGTGTAAGCATGCTAGACGAGCTGACAAGTAGATGGAGGAGTGCTGTGAAGTTGCACCACACCACCCCAAACATCCAATCCCGACGCACAGAGCTGGCCGCAACGAAGGGGAGCGTTAGAACAGACAGCAGCAAATTAGACAAAGTCAGGCTGAAGACAAACTTGTTACTGGGTGTCAGCAAGTAGGGCTTCTTATATAGCGTCACCACAATGACCAGATTCCCCAGACATGCCAATATGGCTATGATGATGATAGAGACAGACTCCAAGACCACGAGCCCACCGTCGACCAGGCCATTAGTGGAGTTGGCCACCGCTGTCCCATTCTTAGAGCTGTTCATTATGGGAGGCTGCTGGCTACCCGGGACTGGACAGACATGTTGACAAACTACAACATATGAGAGAAAAAGCAGTCTGGTTAAAGCTGTCTGGAACTTGAGAAATAATCTGGTATGGTGGGTTAATTCAAGGGTGTACTGTGTAAAGCTTTACAACGCAAGCTGATTTAAATTGTACAAAACATTGTACAAATGTGGATTACGCACACTCTCACAATGTGCTTTTTGTTAAGAACTGAGCTGTGCTGTGAAGAATTCAGAGACCATTTGATCTCAGATTTTAAGACTCCTACCAGAATCACAGCATGTAAGAGTCACATTTATTCAACTATATGCACACAAAAATATGCAATATTTACATCAGGTAAGCAGCTTCCAGCAGATGGCTGACAAAAAATAACAATAAGTTTAAAATAATTAGATTTAAGATAATGAGAAATGATTATATAACTGAGCTGAGAAGAATTCAGAGAACATCACATTTATTCAGCTATATGCACACAATTTTGCATAATTTGTGTACTATATGTAAAATCCATATAAAAAACAATGACAACAACATCAAATAAACAAATAAATAGTTGGACACATTGCAATAATCACTGCATTAGAAAACAAAATATCAAACCATAACATATATTTAAGTTTTTTACAGTTTAAGTGTGACTTAAGTATCTTAATGCGTTTGGGGCCACTGCATGTGGATCTGTCATGGCTCTTCAATAAATCGTTCACCATGATGCCCATTCAATGAACAATCACAGCACAGCAATGTGATCAGCTAGCTGAGAGAGTGAAGCGCGAGCAGATTTCATTCTCAAATTTCCAACAACAGCGATATTTTGCATTGCTCAAAAAATGTGCTCCTGATTCTTTAGATTCAAAATGCATAGTTTATCCCAATGAAATTATAGATGCATGGATAACGTACCAGCTCCCCAGGCCAGGCGATATCCCGCTATAGTGCAGTGCTGGTTGGTAACTTTCTCCGGCTGGCTTTGTTAGTGAGCGGCGACTTCTAACTTTAATCCCCAAAACGTTATCCCCTCCTGAAAGATGCTGGGTTTTCTCACGCTCACGCGGAACAAAAAAGCTTTTCGGAGACGCATGCTCGAAGTTTCAACGCAATTACAAAGTATCAAACCATTAAGGGATGTTCATTTGTTGCGGCTGTTGTGGTCGGCGGTGAATAAAGAGGCGCTGCTGACGTCACAATGGCGTCGAAAACCCTCGTCTTGAAAAGTTCCCTCCGACGGCAGACCGTCCAGAGGGTCACCGACCACACAATGTGCTCTACTGTCTTCTCATTGGGTATAATATCTATATACACTACACATTATTTTGTTCAATCGATATTTATGTCTTTTTTCCACTAAAAATATCTAAACATGTTCAATCTCAAGCACAGCCAAGTAGAATAATACAAGTAGCCTACAATTTAACACTCAATTAAACTCAGGATATATTCTCCTGTCTAGATGTAGTATCTCAAGTAAAGTTATCTATCTATCTATCTATCTATCTATCTATCTATCTATCTATCTATCTATCTATCTATCTATCTATCTATCTATCTATCTATCTATCTATCTATCTATCTATCTATCTATCTATCTATCTATCTATCTATCTATCTATCTATCTATCAGAAAGAGCTTTATTCCCAGGTATGTTGTTTACACATAAGGAATTTGTTTTGGTGACAGAAGCTTCCACAGCACAAATAGAATGACAGTGGCAGGACAAGATAACAAAAAGAATAAAAATAGAATAAGTAAACAGGAAATAACAATGCACAAAAAGAAAACCCCACAATATACAAAAATAGACAATAGACGTTATATGTGTATAGTTATGTAAATGCAAGGAAATGCAAATAAGTATGGTGTGTTAAATAAACAAATGTATATAAATAGTGTTGTGTATTGCATGTTTATTGCCAAGTTGGAGCATTAACTGTTCATGAGATGGATTGCCTTAGGTAAGAAACTGTTCCTATGCCTGCTGTTCTGGTGTTCAGTACTCTGGAGCGCTGACCAGACGGCAAAAGTTCTAAGAGGAAGTGGCCTGTGTGTGAGCGGTCCAGAATGATTTTGCCAGCCCATCTACTCACTCTGGATGAGTACAGTTCATGGGGAGGCCATTTTTCTATATATATTTGACAGCAACAAAACTTTATTGCCATGCTTGTTAACATTTACAATATTGCCAAGGCATAGGCCTGCCTATTGAAATGCATACCACATCAAATAAATAAAAAGTAAATAAAATTAAAGGGTGAAATCACAGAAATTAAATAACTTTAAATCATATTGTGGCCCCTAAGAAGTATACTGCTCATGTGCTGACATTCTGTGAATAGGCTAAATGTATGAATACAAATTTAAACAAAATGTTTTATTTGCTTTGAGTGAGAAATCTGAAAATTAATTAAGTTTCATAACATAGATTGAAATATTGTGGCTGATTACGAGAAAGGAAAAACTCTTTAACATTTCAGTGTTTTTATACAGTGGATAAAGCTGATTATTTTGGCCAAGACCACCTAGGCATTATGTTGCAAACACGTGTGTGTGTGCGTGTGTGTGTGTGTGTGAGAGAGAAAGAGCGAGCAGACATTCATGCAACACTAGGTGGCGTATGCATACTGTGATCATAATTATTGTGTTATATTTCTTTTGTCTGCACTTTGTCTGTACTTTCCTTCTGCACTGGAAGCTCCTGTCACCAAGACATATGTGTCTTATCTGTGTAAACATATGGCAATAAAGCTCTTTCTGATTCTGATAAGAAATTATAGCCATTATAAATGTGGGAACATTTTTGCGTTCATCCACCTCACTTTTTGGGAAATTCTTCATTAATTTATTTTATGTTTAAAATAATACAGCATAACACAATTAATTTTTAGCATAATACAATTTTAGCATAATACAATTAATTCTAACACACAACATATTTATTATATATATATAAAAAACATGTGTTGTCATATTAGTGAAAGATAGTGCATGTGTTTATTTAAAATCACAACCAAGCAGCTCAATCCTCATAGTAATGCATTTCTGCCATCGTTTTGGAATAATTCGGATGAATCTGGAATATATTGGTGGGTAGATGTAGTTCTTTACTTGGCCATTGTTATCTGTGTTGCCTTGAAATGTCTGGAAATAAAAGAAGTCACTCTGTCATTCTGAAGACATAAAACACTGTTGTTTTTTCCACAAATGTAATCCCAAAAAGTGAGGTTGCTTACCTTTTGTTCGTAATCCTCATCATCTGTGTACTTTGTCCATCTTTTTCCATCTTCACTGTACTCCAGAGTATATGCTGTCACAAACATCTCATTGTTTAACGTTTTGGCCCCCTGTGTTATAATCCCAGTTATTTTCGTTATATCCTTGAGTTCCACTTGGATCCATGGCTGAATGTCATTGTTCTGTAAATTGCACACAGTTTAGTTAGGCTTGAGGTTGGTTTGCAGTGTAACAGTAGCATTAAAAGTTTCATTTATGATGTATGTCTTAGCTACCTTGGCTTGCCATGCATTGACGGTCCCTTGCTTATTTAAGCGTGCATACCAAGGATGCCACTGTCCAGAGTACCAACTGGAGGCCACAGAACTGGCAGTGATTTGAGTATCTTCAATGAGGCCACTTTCCATTCCCAATGGCAGAGAACAACCTGCCAACACAATGAGGAGGTTTGGTATAATATATCTGAACCATAGGGAAACAAAAATCTGTTTGATTTTCGTCCATACCATCAAGCTCACAACCAAAGTACTCCAAACGGACAGTTGGGAAGTTGTAAGAATGTGAAGGATGCAGCCTCACGTATCGACCAATCAGAGGTGGGAAAAATATATTCTCCTTCGTATCGTAAGCATAACTGTTCCCTTCAATAGTCTGTCGGCATTGAAAAAAAGGTTTATTGCTTACATCCTATGGGCCGTTCCTTTCACACAGAACACATTTAGATTAGATGTAGTGGAATGAAAAAGAACATGGATATTGAGATGCATTTAAATGATTAACTTGACACAGCATCTTAAAAATGTGGTGCAAAAAAAGCAGTGAGAAGCAGCTTCAAGGCCAAAGCCATCCGTCTATTGCAGTGGTTCCAAGTGACTCCAAGGCCCCCTAATGTCTGCAACAAAATTCAAAGGTCCCCCTAGCCCTAGTTTTGTTTTCAGCCTATTTTAATCAATGGCCACTTCTAGTTTCTGCAAAATAAACTACAATAATTTCATATAAACTATACAATTTCAGCATTCCAGATTTTAGTAACTGAATGCTTTACATGACTTTTCATTATATCCAGGTTTTCTAAGACAGTGGGAACCCTGGTTCCTCAAAGAAAGCAAACAGCTGCTGAGGAGGTTAATTAAAATAATAAATATATTTTAGTTGTTTTTAGCTTGTTTTGTCTCATTTTAAATCATTAAGGCCACCTTGGAAGTTTGCTGAGGCCCCCTAGTGCTGGGATTGGCAACTTCAGTCCTGGAGGACCACTGTCCTGCAGAGTTTAGCTCGAAGCCTAATCAAACACACCTGAACAAGCTAAACAACACTGTTGGGAAAAGTTACTTTCAAATGTAATGCGTTACAATATTGCTTTACTCCCTAAAAAAGTAACTAATTGATTTACATGACTTTTTCCTCAACTGAGGTGTACTTGCTTAACCCCTTTTACTTAGTATGGTTGAACTGGATCATCAAAGGTCAGTAGCAATAAAGTGAGCTTAAATACATAAAGTATATTTGTTTTATTTAACATAACTAATGAGGTTGGTGTAATATTCTAAGTTTGGATTGCACTGTTTTTATTCATTTTGAGGAGGAATACTGAATCTGTTTTGTGCAAGTGAGATGAGTAAATGCATGCTCACAGTTAGTCTAGAACTATAATCAATAAACATCATGTTTGCATTGTGTCGATCAATAAATGGGAAAACTCAACAAGTAAAGTTACTGAGATATTTTGTTGTAAATTTAAAAGTAATGTGTTGCTTTACTAGTTACTTGAAAAAAGTAATTGATTACTTGTAATGCTTTACCCCCAACACTGTTAATCAATGGATTACTAGAAAGCTGAGGCAGCCCAGATAGCATGGTGACATTGATACAATGTTGAGTTTTGATCTAAACCATCATTTTGGTTGAGATTGACATTTCAATGTTTAAAGTGTGCTGGATCAGCATTGACATTTTGATGAAAGCCAACAACACACATAAGTGGAGACAGTGACATTGAACTAACAGTGATTTGTAGTTGATGAGCACAAGATCATTTAGGCGTATCTCTGCAGAACACTAGTGGGTGTTTCTCGATCAGTGGGGCGTTTTCAAACCACAATGGGCATTTTCAACCGCTTTACCCGATTTGCTGTAATCCACTGTGGGCTTGGTTTAAGGGTGGGCCTTCATGATTTTAGCAAGTCTGTTGAAAAATGGTTGAAAAACATTTACCTGTATTGTAGTTTGAAATTGGCCACTGATTGGTAAACGCCCATTTTGTCTTTGCATGTGCACTTTTCAATGCTTCCTCATTAGAGAGAAAACAGGTGCATCCTATACAGAAGTCTTGTTTGTTGAATCACCTGACATACTTACACGACTAGCAGAGTTTCAAACAATGGTGCATCTACCTTATTTCTCTGTTCCTTTGTTTTGCATGCTTATTTGCGTTTGATTTGTGTTGTTACTCACTGTAATTAGATTACAAAGTTATTAAAATGTTTGAATAAAGCATCTATTTTTCTACATTCTTAAAAAATGCATCTTGCTTTAGTAAAGTTTATTAGGAATTTCCTGAATAAAGTTATGTCATTTAACAGATTTCTTAAGGTGCAAGAGACATGAACATGAGCAAGAATGTTAACATAGCCCATGTCTTGTCTCGGTCAGTGCTTGCATGCAGAAGTTCAGAACACATTGCTCCTTTAGTAGGAGTGAAGGCAGATGAAGATGGACAATTAAAAAAGCACCCTCCTGATAATGCTGACATTGATCATACATTGAGTTGTTGTCGAATCTGTATTAAATTTGAGAAATAACTGATTTCCATTCAGTTTAGCTTGTTTCCACTGAAACACACACACACAAAAAAAGATCTAGTGTTTATTAAGAAACTGACTGACATGGCTATTTTGTGATATTTAAAGAGATTAGGGTCTACATAAGGTGAATATGCAGCTTTAAAGGGATAGTTCAGCCTGAAATTAAAATTGTCATCATTTATTTACCCTCAAGTTGTTCC